GCTTGAAAGTCGGAAACTCGGTTATTATTCCTAGCTCATCCTCTTTCGAGTGGTAAGATCTTGTGCAAAGCAGGTTATCTCTCAGCCTTTAGTTTACCTATCATTAAAAAAACGAATTGAGAAGTCAACAAGTGGCATAGTGGTTAAGGCGCTGGACTTCCACATGGCTGACCACGAGTTCTGGACCTGGCAGCTTGCTTTCTCACTTTCTCTTTCTCTCTCTGTCTTTTCCTGGTCAAATTAATAATGTAATAGTCTCTAAATGAAAAACCTGGTTAAGTTATATGTATTTTAGCCCCTATGAGTCTCTAAGTATCTACAACTTTTGAACCTGAGAGATCAAGTTTTTAAAAATTCTAAATTAGATTTAAAAATAAAATTGAAAAGAGAAAAATATTTTTTAAAAAGAAACACTATTAATCTAATATAAATTAAGTCCACATAGACTACACTAGATAAACTGGAAATTATGTACCAAAGGAATGAAGCTCTGGGGGGTTACAGACATTGTTCTAGAAGATTTGCAATCTATAGCACGTGGCGAAATTCTTGCTTCATTAAATTTGATGGTTAAGAATTTCCCACGAGAGAAACCTAGAAGTCTCATTTTTGTCTCCAGCAGCCCTGACACTTTTTGAGCCATGTTACTGAAGAAGGAAAAAGATAACAAAGAGATAACCCTTCTACAGAGCTTCACCAGGGAAGTAAGAGACGACCCCACAGGGTGGCTCCCTTACTCATATGATTTAGGCAACCGTGTGCAAAGCCATGCTGCGCAGATACAAAGGGCATCCACCTCACGCGCAGATGTAATAATGCAAGAATTCACCAGGGCCTGTGGAGGGTAAGCATCCAGGACTCTTCTTTTGAGTGGGTAAGCGGTAATTCCAAGGTCCCTGGAAAATCCTTAAAGCATTTTTTGTTTAAACAGCTACCCATTGGTTCCACGTAGGTTCCACAGAGTTCTTTGGATCCAGGAATGTTCCCGATTATTTCAAAAGGCTTGCCTGGACAGTCTACCAAAGTGCTGACTCCAATGGCCGTGTCACAACAGCTGACTCCCATGAAATGCCCAGTCTATGCGACTCTTCTCCTTGTGCTGGATGCCTCTGTCCAGGAAAGAGAGACGTTCCCTCCACCACACGAACGCTTGACTAACTCCTGTGTTTCTAATAAATAAACGAGGAAGGTCCTCCCTTCAAGAGGAGTAATCTGAGAGTAACTCAGCAGGAGGCTTAGCAGAGGTGAGTCCAGAGGTGAGTCCAGACCTCATAGACAAGACCCAACAGTTAAACAAGATCCACGTATTTATGCTACATGTTTCAGTTTAGAAGGCAATTCATTCACATTCTCTCGTCTGATCCATGCAGCAGTTAAGTGCCATGAGGAAGACCGGGATTTACTGGCCATCTGATACATAATTATGGGAGCAGGTGGAGAAGTTACCTAACTTGGATCCAGGCAGGTGGAGAAGTTACCTAACTTGGATCCAGGCCTTTTGATTTTCTTTGTGAGGTGGAAGTAAAGACAGGCATGCACTAGAGACAGATCACTGGGTTAAGGCTGTGGGGTCGTGGGCAAGACAATTTCTTTAAGCTAGTGTGGGGAAGAATTCAATGAAATCAAGTGGCTGGCAGAATTTCTAGCTTTTGGTCTGGCATATAAGGAGCTTAGAAGTTGCTATTTCATCCTTATAACAAGCAAAGAGCCGAAGAAACTGAAACATCAACAACTCTTCTTACATCTGTCAGAGAAGGGAGTCACAGGGCAATCTGCTGCCCCTCTAAATTAGAGAGACCAACAGGCAGATACGAGGGACCCACTTACTAGGACAGAAACCAGTGAGCAGCTGGTGGCCACGCCTTGTACAAAGGGCCATGAGTGTGTTATGTCCAATTACCATGGGAATTTCATTTGAATTCTAGCAAGAAGACACAGATACTAGCAAATATTTCAATATAAGGCAATCTGCAGCTTTCTACTAGAAGGTCAGCCACAAGTCAAAGACGACTTTACATACATATTTCTTTCATTGCTGAGATCAGCCACTTGTGTCACTGTGTTGAATGTACGGGCTGAAGACTGGGCAGTAGCACACGGATCAGGGTGGTCTAGTACGGTCACTGCTGGGAACCTCTGCCGGGATCTGCGGGAGAGGAAAGCCTAAACCGGAGCTGGTGAATGCTGGAGGCTCACGTGGACCAGTCTGGGAGTTAACCATGCCAGGGAGACCCAGGAACAGGGGCTCCCGTTTCTGAGAGTTTTACCTCTAGGAACACTACCAGGTCCTCACAGTGAATATCAGAGAAAAATCCCCTTATGTTTCCAGAAGGGAGAGGGAGAAAGGAGTATTTTGAAATACACTAGAGAGCTCTCTGTTCTTCTTGACAAGCCTTGTCCCCTCCAGAGAAACTTCTACCCGAGCCTGATGTGCTGGGGTCTCACCAGAGTCTAATCCACTAGAGGGAGAAATGCCAAATTCCACTCCCCTCTTGCCATCCTGCTCTGCCGAAGGTCAGAAAGAAACATGAGAAGCACAGGTGAAGTTCACGGTCCACGGGCAGACTGGGGCTATGGAACAACCCTGGCTGCTAAAGACCCGGTCCACGGGCAGACTGGGGCTATGGAACAACCCTGGCTGCTAAAGACCTGTTTACTGGAGTTCTTTGTACCCAGTACGTCACGTCCACCTTTCCACAAAAACTACAAGTGACACTAAAGGCAAAGGACCCAGTCTGAAGAGACTGAACAAGCATCGGAATCAGTCAGACACGGCAGGAATGTTAGAATGATCATACCAGGCATTTAAAACAACTTTGATTAACATGCTAAGGACTTCAATGGGAACAGCAGACAGAATCCAAGAGCAGATGGATAACATAAGTAGAAAGATGAAAGAATTAAAAATAAATGCTAGAGATCAAAAATACTATAACAGAAAAGAAGCAGGTTTTAATGGGCTCATTAGTACACTGAACATAGCTGAAGAAAGACTTCTGAGCTTGAGGATATGGTAATAGAAACCTCAAAACCAAAAGGCAAAGAGAAAAAAGAAAGAAAAAGAACAGAATATCCAAGAACTGTGATGCAGCTACAAATGTAGTATTGGAATAGTAGCAGGAGAAAAGAGAGGGAGGGAGGTAAGTAATATGTGAAACAAAGACTGAGAATTCCCCAGAATTAATGTCAGGCACCAAACCAGAGATCCAGGAAGGCCAGAGAACACTTGCCTCCCACCAAATACATCTGGGCATATAGGCTCAAACCTTAGAAAAATCGAAGATACTGAAGAATCTTTTATTTATTTATTTGGAGAGGTTTTTTTGCTATCGCCAGATAGACAGAGAGAGACATAGAGACAGAAAGCGAGAAATCACCCCCCAGGGGGGATGGCCACACCGCAATCACTTCTCCTCCATTCTCCTCTCGGGATCTTGGGCCTGAACGCACATGCGCCTGGTGTGAGTTTAAGCCACCGGGTCCGGGACTTGAACCACGGTCGACTACATGGGAGTCCAGTGACATAGCCATTACGCTAACTGCTGACCCCTTATTTTATTATTTTTAAGGTTATTGCCATGTGCTTGGGTGTATGTGCTTGCTGGACACACACACACACACACAGAAAGAGAGAGAGAAATCACCTCCCAAGGAGGCCATGCCCACAATCCCTTCCCCATTCTCCTCTCAGGGTTTTGGGCACGCACATACACACACACACGCACACACGTGTCTGGTGTGATTTTCAAGCTGCCCAGTCTGGTACTCAAACCACAGTTGGCCATGTGGGAGTCCAGCGCCTTAACTACCATACCTCCTGCTGGGCCGATAAAGAAAAATCTTGAAGAAAGCCAGAGGGGAAACGCAACACCTCACTATAAGGAACTAAGGTTAAGAATTATATCCAGCTCTTCCAAAATCATGCAAGCAGGAAGAGAGTGGAGTGTTGAGAGGAAAAATCCCCACCAACTAGCATTTAGTATCCTATGAAATTATTCTTCAAATGTGATGAAGAAATAAAGACTCCCAGACAGATAAAACTTGGGGGAATTTGTTGCCAGTAGACCTGCCTTTGAAGAACTGTTAGACAAAAAAAAGTTTTTCAAAAAGAAGAAAAATGACATAGGTGAAGAATTTGGATCTACATTTTAAAAAAAGGAACAGCATCGGAGCAAATGAAAGTAAAATAAAAACTTTTATTTGTACTCTGAATTAATCTAATAGGTAACTCTGTTCAAAACATTGATAGCACTAATGTATTTGATTATGCTTGTATGTATCTCTGTATGTCAGTACGTGTGTGTCCATGCACTTAGGTACCAGTGAACTGAATGACAGCAAAAATACAAGGCATAGACAGTAGGAAGTAGAATTATTTTATTATCATAAGGTGCCTACATTACCTGGGAAGTGGAATGTTATCGCTCTAAAGTGAAGTTGGATTAGCTATAAATGTACATTGAAAACACTAAGCAAACAAAAAAGAACAAAACTTGATATTCTAAGAAGAGAAAATGGAATCATATAAAATGCTCGTTAAAAAGCAGAAAAAGTATGGGAGACAAAAATAATAACAAAGACAACAAATAGAGAACATTAACAAATATTGTTGCTATTAATCCAAGTGTATTAATAATCACTTCAAATATCAACAGTCTAAATACATAGATTCAAAGACATTATCCAAGTGGAGTAAAAAACAAGATTCAGGGACTAGTAGACGGTGTAATGGTTATGTCATTGGACTCCCATGTAGCCAACCATGGTTCGAGTCCCAGACCTGGCAGCTTAAAACTCAGGTGCAGACATGTCTGAAGTCCTCAGAAGAAAATGGAAGAGAAAAGACTGCAGCATGGCCATCCCCCTTGGGGAGTGATTTGTCGCTTTCTGTCCCTCTGTCTCTTTGGTGACTGTATGTGCTCTATAGCAAAAATCTCTCTCTCTAAAAAAAAAAAAAAAAAAAAAAAAACAAAAACACCAAGGTTCAGGGACCAACAGATGGTGTAGCGATTATGTCACATGGCCGATCACAGTTTGAGTCCTGGACCTGGTGGCCTGAAAATCATGCTGGGTGCATGTGCGTGTATGCCCAAGATTCCGGGAAGAGACTGGAGGAGAAAGGAATTCAGGGCAGCCATCTCCCCCTGAGGGGTGATTTCTCACTTTACCTCTCACTGCATCTGTCTGTCTGTCTGTCTGTCTGTCTCTCTCTCTCTCTCTGGTGAACACATGCACCCTAAAACAAAACTCTCAAAAAAAAAATACAACTCCAACTACATATTATCTCCAACAAAACCTACTTTAAATATAAAGACGTGCATAGAGCGATTTTTAGGGATGGAGAAAGCTATAACATGCTAACACTAATCAGAAGAAAGCGGGAGTAGCTACCTTCATCCAGACAGCGCATACTGCAGCACAACGGCCCATTGGTACAGAGTAATACGTGCAAGTAACCATTAGCCATGATCCTGGTGATGGGGATGACAGTGCCATGCACTCACTCCTCAGAGAATCCTTCTCTGGACAATTTGATTGTTATGTTTAACAAGATAAGTTGTTACCAAAACCTGAACATGAAAAAGTGAAAATGACAAGCCAGCAGGTGACACGGTGGTTATGGTGGCTGGATCCCACATGGTCAACTACACAGTTCAAGTCCCTGACACAGTCACTTGAGAAACACACAGGCCCAGCAAAAATACAAGGGACAGAGGGAAAGTAGTAGAATTATTTTGCTGTCATCAGGTACCTACATTACCTGGGAAGTGGTATGTTATTGCTCGAAAGTGAACTTGGATTAGCTATAAATGTACATTGAAAACACTAGGGCAACCGCTAAACAAACAAAAAAGAGGGAAACTTGATATTCCCAAGAGGAAAGCAGAAAGCGAAGGGACTGTGGTGTGTCCATCTGCCTTGGAGGGATGTCCTCTCATTCTCTCTCTCTGACGAGTACACACACCCTATAACAAATTTTTTTTTAAAAAAAGTAAATATGGGGACCAGCAGATGGCATAATGGTTACTGGACTGCCACATAGTCAACTGCAGTTCTAGTCCTGAACCTGGCGACTTAAAACTCACGGTGAGCACATGTGCATGCATGCCCAAGATCCCGAGAGGAGAATGGAGAAGAAGGGATTGTGGCATGACCATCCCCCCAGGAGGTGATTTCTCGCTTTCTGTCTCTCTGTTTCTCTCTGTCTCTCCAGCAAGTGCACATGCCATATAGCAAAAATTTCTCAAAAGAAAAAAAAAAAGTAAAAATGAAAAAAAACCACAACCATTAAGTTTGAAGAATTTGAGTCCGAAGCAGACTAACTGGTGGCCTGGCCTTGTACAAAGAGCCATTATTACCATGAGAATTTCATTTGAATTCTAGTAAGAAGACATAAGAACTGGTAATACATATGCTTCTAATAAAAAGTTGTCAATACATAAAAGAAGAATCTCTATATATGATTTCTTTCATTGCTGGGATCAAGACATTCCTGTCACTGTGTTAATAATAAATGTGTGGTGTGAGCAGAGATGAAGACTGAGAGCAGTAGCACATGGGTCAGGGTGGTCTCGTCGGTCACGACTCCCCATACCCCAGTACAGCAGTGCACAGAGAGCCCAGGTGACTGCAGGTGTCTTTGCCTGCCCTCCAGTCTGGCTTCCAAGTCCTCGGTTAACGCTGACAGGCCTCTGGGTCAAGCTTCATGAACTAACTGCTCACATTCCCTAAAAGTAGGATGCTCACAGAGGAGCTCTCAGCATTGTACTGCTTTTACAAAAGATAAAAGGGAATTTCATTAGACGATATTAAAGAGAGGGACTATGTGCCTATTAAATTAGCTCCTCTTACTGTAATGAGAAGTCAGGACTGGTGTGAATACGGTGACATGAAATTGTTCACTCACATGGTATTATTTGTGATGCAAACTGAAAACTCACTTAGCCATGAAAATGGTCCTATTTTATGATCCAAACGTGTTCTACTATTGTGGGAAAAAATTTCATTATGTAGGTGTATTATAACTTATAATAACATTATGTAACTCATTATTACATAAACAATGTATATAGTAATAAAATATTCTCCTTCTACTGGATTTTTGTTTTTCTTATTTACTTTTAACAATCAAACCACGGATATTATCACATACATCATTTCCTTTTGTTGGTTATTTAGGCTATTTCCATTTTTGTGTGCTTTTTAAGCTCGTACACATATCTGCAGAGTTTTTCTTAACGTTACAATAAAAAGTATAAACAACCTAAATATTCAGCAAAAGGGAAATACTGATTAAACAGAATAGTTTACATCCATTAAGAATAATGAGTAAAACCATGGAATAATCAACCAAACAATAGTTAGGAAAAAAACCTCAATACAGAAAAACAGAATGAAATAGTGCACATGCACTAAAATTACACTTTAAAATACACCCATTCATGAAACTAGAAATAGAAGGAAGGAAAATAGAAACAGCAGATATAATGTGGAAGAGCATGACTATAAAAGAACTTAAAACTGTTTCCATTATGGTCAAAATGTTGTTAGTGACAAAAACGTAAAACCCACTGAACTCTCCAGCGGACGAATGACTCGGCGTGTCCTAAGCACCCAGGACAAAACGACCAGACGTGCTGTGCTGTGATGCGTCCGCATTCCTCAGGACTTACCTGCCAGCTGAGCTGTGACTGCTTGGAACGGCAGCTTGCGGAACATGTCCACAAGGGGCTGTACTTTCCTTATGTTGACCAGTTCGTGCTTGCCGTAGTCCAGCTCATACACGGACACCAGCCCGTTGGTCAGGATTCCTTTCAACAGCACCCTGTGCCACCTAGATGAGCATCGCATTAAAAAGGAAGAGCAAACACAGCAAGTCAGCCCCTGCGTGACGGGAAGGGACAGTTACGATGAAAAACATGAATGCAAACGGTTACCAAAACGTAAAACTATATTGCCGCTGCCTTTTTTTAAAGAATCATTTTTATTTTATTCATTGTCATTTTATTTCTTTCTTTATTTTTGAAGTTAACCAGAGAGAGACAGAGAGAGAGAAGGCTAGTGAGAAAGCAAGTTGCCAGGTTCGGACTTGAACTGTGGTCATCCATGTGGGAGTCCAGCTACCCTCACCACCATGCCCCTGTCGGCCCTGCCATGGACTTTTTTAAGGCAATTGTTGCTTCTTTTTCCAAACGTTATTGGTTCTGCTTTGCCACCGGCTCATTTGCTAGAATTTGCTCATTCAAAAGACTTTGATGGGTCTCATAGAACCAGTGAAAAACTGATAAAGGACTATGAGCCATCATTAAGCAGTAAAACAAATGCCATGGAGGGTGGTCAGGACAAGGCCAGGGAACCCTTGGCTCTGAGAGGGGATGGCTACATGTTTAGTACATGGTACATGTTTGGAAGATGGAAGTAAGCAGGACCAGCTGGTGTTGAAGACATGTTTGAGAAGTGAAGCACAGAAGACTTGAGAGGGCCTGGGGGTCTGGAGCACAGCAAACATGCCAGTATAGCTACTGGGTCGTCAGAAAAGTAAAAATGTTTTTCTATGCAAAAATGCGTCATGACTTTTCCTACAACCCAATGGAAGGCAGCGTGTGTAGACAAAAGAGAAAGACTGTGAAGGCAGGCGGAAGAATGATTAAAAAAAATTTGTGAACAAAACCTTCAATCTTTAGGTATTCTAAATAAGGACATTAAAAAGCAACACAAGGGACCAGCAGCTAGTGTAATGGCTATGTCGCTGGACTCCCATGTGGTCGACCGTGGTTTGAATCCTGGACCCGGTGGCTTAAACTCACGCCAGGCACGTGTGTGTGCGTGCCCAAGATCCCGAGAGGAGAATGGAGGAGAAGGGACTGCGGCATGACCATCCCCCCTGGGGGTGATTTCTCACTTTCTATCTCTCTGTCTCTGTCTCTCTCTTTCAGGCGAGCGCATGTACCCTATGGTGAAAACCTCTCCAAAAAAAGAGAAAAGAAAAGAAAAAGAAGCAACACAGAATCTCAAGCCATCACCTAAAATAAAGAACCTGGACTAGGCAGGAGAATGTGGGGAGGAAAAGGAGTCTGGTTTCAGATCTGAGTTGTTCAAGGCAGCAGAAAGAAATTTTTATGACTATACATTTTCCCTCTCAGTCTACATCAACATCATGGAAAGGCTAATACATAAAGGATAACTGAAGGCTAATACATACAGGATAACTGTAAGATCCTGAGGCTTCAATGATATCATTAGAAAGTATTAGCACGCTAAGGAAAGAAAGATTGTTCTAACTGCTAGAAGAAAACACCTATGGAGACAGCGTCTGCTCTTCCACGGTTTGAGTTGGACTCTCCTGCAGGAGGCAGGTCTGGCTGTTCTCTGAACATGTTTATCAGCCATATGCCACAAGCCCAGTGGAACAACAGGGCCCCTTACTGCCACACACTGTGGCACTGGACTGGCCAGGCTGGGCGGATTGTCTAGTCAGTGGATACCTCGCAGAGAATGGGCATAGGAAACCCAAGCAGCTGCTGCAGAGTAAACTAGTGAGATATCTACAGACAGGCCACATTTAAACACTGGGACTGGGGGTTGCTGGGAGACCTCCAGAAACTTTCAGTCAGGCTCAAAGCACAGCAGGAAACACTATAATCCACGAGCCCCAGAGATCACTGGGACATAGTTAGGATTCGTAATAAGCCCATGAGCTTGGGAGGCCAAATAAAACCCGAGCTGTGGTACTCTCTGGGTCATTTTCCACTTGTGTCACCCTGGGCTCTTTATTTAACCTCTCTAAGCCTGCGTTGTCTCATGTGTAGTATTTCATGTTAATTCACTTGCAGAAATAATAAACAAAAAGTGCCTATATATAACATTACTTGTCATATGATAGGCACGTGGCCAATGGTAGCCCTCATTATTGTTAAAATGAAGAACTTCAGACCAGACTGAAAACTTCTGATGTGGAAATGCTAGTTTGGTACTAGTTGCTGATATGCTCATGTGTAAAAGCAGACGACATCTGGCATCTCCCAGTATCACTGTCTTTAAACTGTACAGGGCAAAAATGATGGGGGTCTGTGTTTCTAGACCACGAACAAGAGATGCCGCAGTGAGGAGAGACCCACTAGGACATGGGCATGTTGTATTTCTATTTACCACTCAATTTTCAAAACTAATAGTGTAAATGAGAGCTTCAGTTTGGACTATGTTACCAATTTCAGGGCAAAGCTTCACTTGGCGTTTGTTAAAACTAGGTTCTGAGTGCAGAAATCCTGATTCAGGTTGCCTGGGGTGAGGGGGAAACTGCATTTTATTTATTATTATTATTATTTAGATTTTTACCATAGGACATGGTGCACTGCCACAGAGAGACAGAGCGAAAATGAGAAATCACCCCCGGGGAAGGAGGGACATACCGCAATCCCTTCTCCATTCTCCTCTCAGGATTTTGGGCACATAAATACACATGCCCAGTGTGATTTTCAAGCCACTGGGTCCAGGACTCAAACCATTGCTGACCATTTGGGAATCCAGTTCCTTAACCACCCGCGCCACCTGCTGGCCCCAAGAGAATCTTCATTTTTAATAAGTCAAGTTATTTTGATGCTAAAATAGATTTGGAAACCAGTGTAACTGGGGGGAAAAAAGGCATTTGAAATTCCTAAAACTCAATTTACCATATATGGGAACAAATTTTATTAAAAAGTCCCGAGTCTTAAGCAAGAGAGAAACTCAAAACACTACATTGATTTAGTTCTTGAAGTTTAACAAAATCAGGTAATCTGTTCTTGAAATATAAAACATCCTGGGGACAAATGAACCGGTCAAAACACAGACCTGGGCAGAACTGTTCAGACCTAAGGAGAGTAGGCAGGAAGTCTGAGGCCCTACCGTGGAGGTCGCCAGGTTATGCCTCTCTTACCCGAAGACCTCTTTCCTCCAAGCAGGATCTCCCCACTGTAAATGATCATTCATCTGCCCCTCCAGGGGACAGCTAACATCAGTTTGTTTTTTTGGAGAGATTTTCACTGTAGGGCGCGTGCGCTCGCCAGACAGACAGAGAGAGACATAGAGACAGGAAGCGAGAAATCACCCCCCAGGGGGGATGGTCACACCGCAATCCCTTCTCCTCCATTCTCCTCTCGGGATCTTGGGCACGCACGCACACGTGCCCAGCGTGAGTTTTAAGCCACCGGGTCCGGGACATGAACCGCGGTCGACTACGTGGGAGTCCAGCGACATAGCCATTATGCTAACTGCTGGTTCCCACATCAGTTTGCTTTTAACTGTGATTGAATTCTAGTGAAGAGTTCTAACAGGCAAACTTATAAAAACTTAATCTCACATATGCTTACAGTTGTAAATAACAATAGTAAAAATGTTTTTTTAAAGATGAAAGGTTTAGGGACCAGCAGTTAGCGTAATGGCTATGTCACTGAACTCCCATGTAGTCAACCACAGTTCAAGTCCCAGACCCGGTGGCTTAAACTCATGCCAGGCGCATGTGCGTGCATCCCCAAGATCCCAAGAGGAAAAGGAGGAGAAGGGATTGCAGCATGGCCACCCACCTCTGGGGGGTGATTTCTCACTTTCCGTCTCTCTGTCTGGCGAATGCATGTGCCCTATAGCAAAAAACCTCTCCAAAAAAAGAAAAAAATAAATATTGTTTTATTTTCCCATGAAAATGACAAAGCTTTAATATATGTCTATGTTGTCAGAAAAAAGAATGAAAGTATTTCATATAAAAAATAAGCACTGTGACCTTTTAAACTGAGCTTTGAGGGGTGTGTATGTGTGTTTGTATGTGCGTGGGTCAGGAGGGAGATGGTTCTTTGTGTTTGGCTTCGACAAATAAGCTTGTCCATTCCCTCTAAGGGACAGGACAGGGTAGTCACGGCATCTCCCAAGGCTTCGCTGCTTGAGTGGAGAGTAGAGAGGCATGCTCGGGCTTCACTAGGACAGAAACAGCTCATCTACAGGGTCTTGGGGAGAAGAATGTGGATCCAAATGTGAAAAATGAGAAAATTGAAGCACTGAACAACTATAAAGAAGTATAGTTCTCATAGTCTAAAAAGGTCAATGAGTAGTGAAATACCTTACATCTTTTGTTTTAGAATTATTCATTTAATTTTATTTATTATTATTATTGTTATTATTATTTTCATTTGATCAGAGAGAAAGGGAATGTGAGCAAGTGAGTTGCCAGGTATGGGACTCGAACCATGGCCAACCACATGGGAGTCCAGTGCATCAACCATCACGCCACCTGCTGGGCCCATAACTTACATCTTAAAAAAGGTGGCATGACTGCTAGGAAGCAATTGACAACACTTAGCGGTATACGTCAAAAAATGTGTCATCTTTCCCGTTTTTTAGAAATTAATTTTGACTGGGCCTTTAACAATTATTTATTTAATTCTATTTATTAATCCTTCATGTTAATTTGACCAGAGAGAGAGAGTGAGAGAGGGAAAGTGAGAAAGTAAGCCACCAGGTCTGGGACTCAAACCGTGGTCAGCCATGTGGGAGTGTCCAGTAGCTTAACCACCACGCCACCTGCTGGTCCCAAAACTTGTCATCTTGTTCACTAATAATGTCTCTACTTGGAATCTATCTTGTAAGTATATGATCAGAGATGCAACCAGAATTTATATTCAACCTTCTAACAGTGAACAATTTGTAAGGGAAAAAAAAAAACACAACAAAAGAGAATAAATTATGATTTCTCCATGTAATAGACTGCCCATTCAGTCATTAAAATAATGTTACCGAAGGGGCCAGCAGATGTTGTAATGGTTATGTCGCTAGACTCCCACATGTCTGAACACAGTCTAAGTCTCAAACCCAGTAACCCAGTGGCTTGAAACTCATGCTGGGCGCCTGTGAGGGCCTGCCCAAGATTTTGGGAGGAGGATAGAGGAGAAGCGACTGTGGTGTGGCCATCCTCTGGGAGGGTGATTTCTCACTTTCCTTCTCACTGTCTCTGCCTCTCTCTGACGAGTGCATACAACCTATGGCAAAAATTTCTAAAAAAAAATGTTTTGGAAGAAAGTATATTGTATGAAAAAATGTCCACAGCCTAATGTTAGGAAGAAAAAAAAGCAGGTACAAAATTATATATGATAATAATATTCAGAATGAGCTTCTCCAATATGAAAATCTTAAAACCAAAATGTTCCAAAATCTGATTTTTTTTTTTAAAGAGATTTGTGCTATAGGGCACAAATGTGCTTGCCAGACAGAGAAAGAGAGACAGAAAGCAGAAATCACCCCGAGGGGGATGACCACACGGCAATTCCTTCTCTATTCTCCTCTTGGGATTTTGTATACATACATACACGCTTGATGTCTTTCAAGTTGCCGGGAGTCAACCACATGGGAGTCCAGGACCTTAGCCACTACTCCACCTGCTGGCCCCCAAAATCTGAAAATTTTAAAGTGTTGACATAATGCCACAAGTTAAAAATTTCTCAGCTGACTGCATGTTATGGGTTGTGGTCAAAATGCAGCAATACAAAAGTATCCTATAAAATTATTTTAGGCTTTGTGTATAAAGTATATTTGAAACATAAATGAATTTCATGTTTAGTCTTGGGTCCTGTTCCTAAGATATCTCAGTATATATATATAAATACTCCAAAATCCGGAAAAATACAAAGTCCAAAACACTCTGGTCCCAAAAAGTTTGGATAAGGGATATTCAGCCTGTACCAATGATATTAATATGCACAGAAAAAAATAATGACATAGTCAAATAAATGCTACGCCTGGGGACCTGATTTTAATTTGTTATGTTCTTTTGTATTTTCTAAATTTTCCACAAACATTATCTTTTAGAATAAGAAGTTAAAAATTTAAAATAAGTTATTTTCTGAAAAAAAAATTATAATGGGAAAAAAATCTGTACTTTCATTTGGGTACATAATTATGTTTAACATGAATATGGCTATTTATTTTTAGATATATGACATGATTTTAAATATGAGAAAGTTGCAAAATTCATTAGCTGTATTTTACATTTAAAATTACCATTTGTGCTGTTCAAAGCCCCCCTGCTATGATTAAAGACTTTTGGTATCCTTCTACGTATTTTTTTTAGGAGTAAAAATAAAATGCTTTGTCTAAGGACCTACTTATTTTCCACTTTGGCAGCATACACCTGGTCTTTTTCCACCATCACGTGGCGCTCTTCGGACACGCTGTAATATAGAATCATCTCCTCCATCAGAACTTCCAACTTATGTATCTCCTGCCAAGGCTGAATGACGAAGTAGCCCGGGTGACAGGCCACAGGCACGTACACATCCATGTGCTCCCCTGGCTTTGACAGGTAGACAGGAGGTGGCAGTCCCGCCGTGGAGGAAGCGCTGGTGCGGTCTACCATGGGCTTTTTGATGACCTCTGTAAGGCTCTTCCTAATATTCTCTCCAGTGCCGCCGGGCACAAGCACGTTGCCGTTTTTGCTGTTGGGAGAGCCAGCTCCACTAGACACGGCGCTCAGAAACACATCCTTCTGATGCTTCCACAAGTCTGCGTTCGTAATCTGGCGGTTAATGCTGCGGTGAGGATCCGGGAAGTTCTTAGGCGTAAATAAATAAACATGGGTGATCCCTGTGCTTTCATCCACTTTTGTAACCTTTGGAAAATGCAAAAAACAGGTTAAGAAATCCAGGCTCACAGTGAATTCTGAGGAACAGTTCCAGTATTAACCTTAAATGGTAACACACCGTTTTATAAAAGTAACTTGCTAAAATTCATTTTATTTAAGGTAAGATGAATTACCCATCACAGCTCAGCAGTGAGTAGATTCTTAAGTCAAAATAGTGTAGAAAACAGTGACAGCCTTATGGAAATAAAAAATTTACTAACTTAAAAAACTCTTGAGAAAAGCTTATAACTTGCTACAGGTCATTAGCACCCAGGATATTGAGATTCATCCTTTGAAGTGCTAATGAAGTACTGCTGGCTAATTCGTTTTGACATTTATGATACAGAAGTACCTTTTAAAAAATTAACTATTAGAAAGTATTTTTACTGCGTTCTCAATCCTGGCTTTAGGAGCTTAAAGAGTAACTGAGAAAACAAGGTTCGTTACCATCTGACAACTGAGAGCTGTGAATAGTACATAATTAGGCAGGTCATTGTATGTAATAAACCCTGTAAGGCTATAAAGATTCAAAAATGAGTGTTAGCTAGATTCATTTAGAGTTATCTATTTTTAAAAGTTTATTTCTTCCATGAGAGGGAGAGACAGACCGTGTGCATGTGCACCTCTACAAGGGGCCCTGTGTGAGGATCCGCCCCAGCCCTCAGGAAGCCCTAGACCAGGGGTGAGTGTGCGCCCAGTGTATGCAGGAAGGTCTCTGCACTTGAACCAGGAACCTCATATAGGACTGCTTCACAGAGCATGTTTTACTGCTGTGTCACCATCAGACCCTACTTAAAAATCTTCATAGCTTGAGAAAGTATTGCTCAAGGGTATTTCATTGTTAAATATTTATATAAAATTGTAATATATTTGTATCATTGCTAGCAACAGACAATTGTTTTCTTAAATTTCTGTTCATGGGAATATGTCATATTTCTTACATGAAGATGTGAAAGCAAAAAAAAAAGAAACAGGAGCTAGTAAAATACATAGAGCTGTTTAAATAAACTTAGAAAAAAGAAGCAAGATGAAGATTATCAACAAATTGTTTATAATCTTTTCTACTTTAGAAAAAAAAGATATACAATACTCAAATCATCTTAAACATTTATCAGGTGGTATGTGGTCTTTCTGTTGGGGACTTAATTTCTTTTCAGGAAGTAAAACAGAAGCAGAGAGCCATCCCTGCTACCTTATTAATAATGGGGAAAATGATACAAAGGGTTTACAAATAATAATGGAAACCTAGGGTGACCTCTTAAATAAGGAAGAAAAAAAAAACTGAACCATGAACTATAGCTAGACGTGTAACCAATCCCTTGAATATGAAAATGTGTCAGTTGTGAAAGCATCAGTTTACAGCAGGATGAAGTTCTTTCACAAAAACCACATGAGCCCTCTGGCTGCCAGTGTCCTTTTAAAGCTATCAGATCAATAAGATAACCAACCTTAATGCTACAGTCTGAGCAATTCAAAACAGAATCTCTCAACCAAAGCACGGCATCTGGTGTCCACATGCCAATAGATTGTGGAAGATCTGCTAAACAGCACTTGATAGCCTGAAGATAAAACACAGTGGGGAGGAGAACACATCATAAAATAGGCCCTTGTGCACAGTGTTAATATTATTTTCCTACAATTGGATGTGGCCAAGACAGGCAGCGGGCAACTGCAATGGCTGATAACAGTCAGCCCCGCCGGAGTGTCTGTGTGCTCCTGGCTCTAGTGATGTTACCACTGTTGTCATTACCCCTGTTACCGGCCAGGGCTTACACTTACTTCTCACCCTACAATGCTTCTGCACATAGGTGTTGTGACCCCATTTTACAGAGGATGGAAAGTGCTCGGAGAGACTAACCTGTGTAAGATTGCAAAGTTGCAAACTAGGTCTTCCCTCTCTGCCCAAAATAAAAATGAAGGCTCACTGTGAGGAGATCTGACTCCTATTGCAAAAGCCTTTCTGGAGGCTTAGTGCTTCATTTAGTGTTTCCTGAATACTTTGTGGGTGCCAGGCGTTTGTGCTCACCTTTTGAAGGGAGGCTGTAATGAGAATGAAGAGGGGTGAGAAAAACTGAAATCCCTAAATATTTAAAAAGCCTCCTTTACTCCAGGGCTGTTACTTCCCACCATCACTTCATAAGTCTCTGTAAGATGGAGTAAAATAAAAGGTGACCTCCGGGTACTTCCTTCAGCCTCACGCGAGTTTTCGAATGAATGGAAGCGGTTTTGTGGGGCAATGACCTTTACTCGCCAGATTTCTTTTTTCCTCTCTATGCCCTTTTTCCCTGCCTTACCTCCTCTCTCAATGTATGCAAGTCTCTCAGGGTGCAGGCCAACTGTGGTGCCTTTCCTGGAAGGGAGGTCACTTAGAGCAGAGGCAGCTCACTTTCCTACCGGCAGGTGCTGGGCAGGCAGTGGAGGGAGTGGGGCAGCCGTGATGTGTGGGCCACTCCCAAGGACCACTGCCCCACAAAACAGAGTGCTCAGTATAGTCAGACTTTCCAATTTAGGAAAAGAAAGACGAGAAGTAGGATTTGTGTGTGTGTGTGTGTGTAATTTTTTTTTTCTAATTTTATATTCCTGGCACCCAATTCATATTTTTAAAATCATGTAAGAACGAAGAGCCCAAACTCAGTATCTATAGCTCAGTTTTGGAAACAGGCCATCATTTTGCTACTCTGACTTAGACCTCTTGGGGAGACTTGTTAGTGAAAGGCTTAGGAGAGCTGGTCTTTAAAGTTCCCCCCAGCCAGGCCAGCTTGTAGCCTAGTGATTGAGGGAGCCAGATCCCACATGGTCAGCCACCCTTTGAATCCTTGCCCGGTGGCTTGAGTAGCATGTTGGGTATGCGTGTAGATGTGCCCAAAGTCCTAACAAGAAGGAAAAGTGGAAAAGGGATTGCAGCGTGGCCTCACTGGGAGTGGCTTCCTCCTTTTCTCTGGCAAGCATATATGCCTTCTGGCAGCAGAAACAAACAAAAACCCCAAAATGAAGGTTCCCCCAACCAATTCTGCATCTATCAGATAACAGCTGTGGATAAGAACTGGTAATGCTATGGCATCAAGAAGGTACTGCTGTGTGACTTGTAGACAAAGCAGTGGGACCGGGTCTCCTTCCCTCTAGTCCAGGGTCTAAGTAAGGCCAGTCCTGAATGGATGTCCCAACAAGGGGATGCACAGGCCAGAGGAGTTAGTGAGTGACCAGAAACACTTAAATGTCTATCAATTTCCAATATTATGGCTGAGCGACAATAAGAGTAGAAATGATTTTGAAAACAAGATAAACAGCTTCTCTGTAACAGTCACTGCGAGGACAGACAATGGTGACGAGAGTGAAAAAGCATCCAAAGCCATGTTAATCATGAACAACTATGCTTTAGTGAGTTTTGATGGCAGAAGCTAACTTCTGGGAAATATTAGACAAGGGGCATTTTGAAATGATAAAATATTGAATAGGTTCATTTTTTTTTTTAAAAAAAAGATAGTAATTTCTTTACAAATTCTTCTACCTCTCCTAAGGATGGTAAGTAGTTCTTAATCAGTTCTAACAGATTCAAAATAATTAAACAATCCTCATCATCTGATGAGGGAGGATAGGCTGAAGTTTATCTAAATTTTACTAAAGTATGTGGGGAAACATCAAGTGGGATATAAAAGACTGCCAAAGAGAATGATCACCTAGTTCCACCATGGACTCTGGGAATAAGCGTGTACTCCACATCCTGACCTGCGCGTGGGCATTGGACTACTAACACGGGCCCCACCTACTGGCCGGTGTATGTGAAAGCAAGTATTATCACTCAATATTCTGTAGGCACGACTGGTCTGGTCTAAGTCAGCCACGTTCTACTTCTAAAAAAGAGTAAGAAGCCACATTTGGACAATTTGCAATTTCCCTACGCATTAGGACCACGATCTAGTGAGATCACACCAGGGGGCCTCTCACAACAAGTTAGGGAGACGTCTGCGTCTCTTTTACCTGAGGAGGGATTGCAATCACTTCTTGTAGAAACCGAGGTGGGATTTCCCTGAGCTCCGCCACTTTGACAGATGTCACGGTGCCTGAGTCCAGGAACTGGACGTCAAGAGCCCGGCTGCTGTGAACGTTCGTGATCTGAAATGAGTCAGGTGATTTACTAAGTTGGCTGATTTACTAATACATCTCAAAGACCTTTGCTTCTGTGTGGTTATATTTTACACAGTGCTAAACGATACATTAAAAACGACGACTATTGGTGTCAAAAATTCCCCTTAATTTAAAATGTATTTACTAAAATTCTTTTAGAGTAGAATTGATTTTTAACATCTGGTGGTTTATTCATTTAATTGGTAATAATCAATAATATAATAATAATCAGTAAAATTCAATAACACTATTTTCCGTATCTAGAAACAATTTATTTTTTTTTATAAAATGATGTAGTATTACATATTGTTGGTTACAAGATGCAGTCTGTTCTCTAAATTATTACAATGTGAGAAGAAAAATTATTATATCTTAGCAATGAGAAAATAAACATGATTCAGAGACAGAATTTTACTTATGGTGGTTAAATACTATTTATTTAAAAATCATAACATATTTAATACTTCTTCAGAAAGCCTAATAATTTTTAAAGAATTATTAAATTTTGTTTATTACTAGTATTATTTTTTAATTTGACTAGAGAGAGAGAAAGGGAAAGTGAGAATGCAAGTTGCAGGTCTGGGATTCAAACCACAGTAGGCCATGTGGGAGTCCAGAGCCTTAAGCACTACTTGCCAGCCCCCACCAAGCCTAAAAACTTCTATTACTTGTCCTCATTGGAAAAAAAACTGAAACTCGGAAAATCATAGAGAAATAATACAAACTCCAAAACAACAGCTAAAAAAAAGGGGGCCTTTGTAATTATTTATGTAACTGTCAAGAACAAATACATTGTTTAAACACAAGAAATGCTTTTCATTTATCATTTTCCCCTCAAATTTGTACATATCATTAAACAGAATGAATTTGCAAACCTTTTGTTGACTACAGACTAAGACAATATATAATGTGATAATAATAAAGATAATACAGTACTACAGAGTTACCTAAACAAAGGTATCTAGTACCCTAGAAGATATGCTCAGGAAAGTTCATGGTAGTGCTGTTTACAACAAGGAAATTAGAAGCATCTATCCACATGTGATCATCAGGAGAATGGAGTGATAATGTAGGATATTCATACTGTTGTATCATTCAGAAGTAGAAATGTATTGAGTAGGTATTTTTGCCAAAAATGTGTAACCTGAATTTAAACACCAAGATGCTCAAATTGAGAGATACTTTACAAAATGATCCTACTCTTGAAAATGCATGAACAACCAAGGAAGACCAGCTGACAGGTTGAAGACTAAGATGGCATGACAGCTAAGAGGAATCCTAGACTGGATCCTGGACCAGAAAGAAGATATTCATGGGATAGTTTGGAAACTGCTGATAAGTTCTGCAGAGGAGGTCATAATACTGCATTAATGTCAGTTTCCTGGGTTTGATCATTATGACCATGATAATGTAAGATGCTTACACTTGGAAAATGTGAGAAAAAGGTAAATGAGATCTCTTTATACAATTTGTGCAATTTTTAAAGAATTGAATTATTTCAAAATAAAAGGCTTAAAAAGTAATTGTTTGTACAATTATATGTTATAACTAAACAGCACAGATTTGAGTAATACCCTGAAGTTTATGGCTAAGCACTTAATTAACCCTTAGTCATATATCCCCAGATTTCAGCCTTATAATACACAGCCACATTAATGACAGTAATTACTTCAAGACTGCTGTTTTCATTAGAGTAGACATCACCAAGTTTTACTGAAATAACAGAAAATTAGTAAAATTAAGTTAACAAGATGTTGCTGTACAGCATTTAAAAAACTATTACTTATTTAATTTTATTTATCATTATTATTATTATTTTATTTATTTTTTTGTTTTTTTTGGAGAGGTTTTCATTATAGGGCGCGTGCGCTCACCAGACAGACAGAGAGAGACATAGAGACAGAAAGCGAGAAATCACCCCCCAGAGGAGATGGTCACGCCACAATCCTTTCTCCTCCATTCTCCTCTCGGGATCTTGGGCACACATGCACATGCGCCCGGCGTGAGTTTTAAGCCCCCGGGTCCGGGATGCGAACCATGGTCGACTACGTGGGAGTCCAGCGACATAGCCATTATGCTAACTGCTGGTTCCCTCATTATTATTTTTGAAAGAATAATTTTATTTAACTTTATTTTATTTATTTGTTTATTGTAATTTGACCAGAGCAGGACAGAGAGAGAGAGAGAGAAAGAGAGAAAGCAAGCTGCCAGGTCTTGGACTCGAACCATGGTTGACCATGTGGGAGGGAGTCCAGTGCCCTTAACCACCATGCCACCTACTGGCCCTGTATCATTATTATTTTTTAAAATTTTGTACAGGGCATGTGTACTCATCAGAGACAGACGGGGAGATGGGGAGTGAGAAAGTAAGCCACTAGGTCTGGGACTTGAACCATGGTCAGCCATGTGGGAGTCCAGCACCTTAATCACTATGCCATCTGCTGGTCTCACTCTACAGCATTTAAAAAAAATCAATAAAGCAATGGCTCTTATCTTTTTAGTGCTGGTTTGAGAATTTGATTAAAATTATGCAAACTTTACTCCCAAATATATAATACAAACACAGGCACAATTTGCAATTAGGCGCTGTATAGTAAAACTGAATATATGCATTCCCTATGCCCAGAAACTCCCTTCCTATGTGTGTGTCCTCGAAGATATGCACAGAAGGTTCCTGGTAGCACTGTTTTAACAAAACTTTAGAAACAATCTTGATGTGGCTGATGTGTGTCATCAGGAGAAAGGAGTAATAATGCTGCCATACTCGTATTGCTCCATCATGCAGCAGTGAAAATAGGTGAGCCAGAGCTGCTGACCAACACAGATGAATCTCACAAACAGAATGAATGAAAAGCTGTGTTTCAGAAGAGTCAATACATTTTCCTTTACATACTTCTTTGTTTTGTTTTGTTTTTCAGGTTATTTTGCCACAGGGCCATTGCACTTACCAGAGAGGAGAGAGACAGAGATAAAGTGAGAAATCATGCCCCCCAAATGGGAAGGCCAGTCCAAAATCCCTTCTACATTCCCCTCTCAGGATTTTGGACATGCATGCACATGTGCCTGGCGTGATATGCAAGCCATCGGGGTCTAGGACTTGAATTGCGGCCAGCCATTTGAGAGTCTAGCACCTTAACCACCATGCCACCTGCTGGCTCCTTTATATAATTTTTTAAAGCTTTTATTCATTTATATCCATTTACTTTTTTAAAGAAATTATTTTATTTGACTTTTTCTTTCTCTCTCTCTCTCCCCTTCCTTCCTCCCTTCCTTCCTTCCTTCCCTCTCTCTCTCTCTCTCTCTCTCTTTCTTTTTAATTTGACCAGAGAGGGGCAGAGTGTGAGAGAGAGAGATTGAGAGATTGAGAGAGAGAGAGAGAGAGAGAGAGAGAGAGAGAGAGAGAAAGTAAACTACCATGTGCGGGACTTGAACTATGGTTGTCCATGTGGGAGTCCAGCACCATTAACTATCATGCCATTTGCTGGCCCCTAGTCATTACTTTTTACTTTACATAATCTATATACATATTCATTTATCCATCTCTACAATCTATAAATTGAAAGTATTACAGTAAAATATATGCATATAGAAATAAATACAGTAAAGTCTGAAGAATCAACTGGAATGAGAAATGTCAAATTTAGCTGGTGGCACCCTTAAAGGCATTTAAAAGAGAGCTTCGGCCATACTGGTATTGTTTTATTTCATAAACTGGTAATGCCTCCATGGGTGCTTAGTCCATTTTTGAAAATGCTATTTGTATATTTGAAATATTTCATAAAAAGTTTTTTAAAAAGTCAAGTGATTGCTTTTACCTCGACGCGTAACCATTTTCCTTTGCAATGGAAGAGGCAGATCTTCCCACAGAAGGGTAGGGAAACGAAGTACTCGGAGGTCATGTGCTACAAAACAGAAATGCATAAGGTTCTTATGACACTTAGCGGAGAGCATTTTATACAACACCAGAGAAACAGACCGCTGTGGCACCGGCAGACTGTTCACCCACATGCAATCAGATTTCTTGTGAGCCCTTTTGCTCCAAGGAATGTGCTGCAGTGGATGCAGCAACTACGTAGGACCTTCTGCTCGTTATGCATGTTTCTGAGGTCAGCAATCTACTCCTCCCCACACGTACACGGCTCATAAATCGACAGTGGTACGAGGCTAAAAGTGTTAGTGTGGCGGTCGACATCCTTCGCTTAGGCTCTGGCTCCGTCAATAGCTACACACGAAGAGGGCACCATGATGACCCCGACAAAAGCAGGAGAGCAGAATGGGTGAGAAGTGAGGAGGCTGGCTGGCTGGCTGCCCATAGAGACTCTTCACCTTATACATTCAGATTCAAAGAAAATAATATTTTAATTCCAAAAGAAAAGAAATGTATGAACACCAATCAGTGTCAGCAGATCACAGAAACAGGCCTCTTCATCTTCCTTTCCCCAGCTTGAGGCTGGGGAGCTGTCCAGCATCTTTTTCTGTTCAAGTTGAGTGTTTCTGCCCTCTCCAAAGTTACTGTCTCCAGACAGCGCTACCAGAGCTCTAGCAAATTGTATCGAGAGCGCTTTTCACCCTATAGGTCATAAGGACATCCATGCAAATGAGTCTCTTAGACCAGCTTTTCCCAGTGTGTCAGATTTCGCTTAGACAAAACAGCGAGTCAAATTTAAGTAATGACCTTGAGATACAAAAATGACATACGTAACACAGAAAGAGGTAAAGCTATAGATCTAATGCCTCAATTCTAGACTTTAATCAGAATACAGGTGCATCTAATTTGGCAATTATTTGGGAACAACATGTCCTATGTGAGACACTAGTTCAGGTACTGAAAGGGATGTAGACAATTGGTAAGGCACAACCTCTGGCCTCAAGAAGTCTGAACTCCAGTATACACCCAAGTAGCTAAGTCATGAGGCTGAACAGGAGTGCTCTGAGGTCCCCAGTGTACTTTGTAGGCTAGGGGGAAGGGTTCATGGGGGCGAGGGGGCGTCAGGGTTTAGTCCCTTGGAAACCATAGTATATTCTGGATGATACTAAAATATCCTCCCAAAGATAAGAAAACTACTTTAGAAACTCAAACCCCCCACGAAACCTGATTTAAAAAAATACTAGACGAAATGAAAGGGTAAGAAGCTTATTAATACAGTTTTTTTAAAAGATTTTATGACTTTCTTTTTTTTAACAATTATTTTATTTAACTTTATTTATTATTATTATCATTATTATTTTCCAGTTTGATCAGAGAGAGACAGAGAGAGAGAGAGGAAGTGAGAAAGCAAACCACCAGGTCCGAGACTTGAACCGTGGTCGGCCATGTGGGAGTCCAGCGCCTTTAACCACCATGCCACTTGCTGGCCCCTACAGTTTTAAACTATAGAACCATACTGACCAGGTAGCAGGTTCTCAGGGAACATAAGAGCTAGGAGAATGATGCCTGAGAATGAAGATGAGGCAAAATTAAGATAGAGTTTTCTTCTTTTCCTAAATTCCGATTTCTCCTCTGTCTGAAGCAGAAGAGCCAGCTGGCTCTAGTGCAGAGTCACAGGAAACTGCACGCAGGATCAACTACACGTTATAAATAGCAAATCCACCAATTGCTGAGCACTTAGTAGTCGCCAGGCACTGGGCTGAGCAATATGGCGACTAGTTCTCATGAGAACCCTGTGGGTACATACTACTATACTCACTTTACAACACAGACACTGTGTTCTATTTTTCTTTTAAAGCTCTGCAGTCTGGGGCTCTTACCTACTATTCTATAGATTCTAATGTGAACTGTGAAAAACTCATTCCCGCCTGTCCGATTTACTGAACCACTCTATTAGGCAACTCCAGGGCGCGCTTTAGAGGCGGAAGATGTTCGGCCATACCTTACAGTGGAAGTAGTCCTCTATCTTATGTAGGAGATCGTTGAGCTTGCTCAGACCCTTACAAGGCACCTGGCAGTAGAGGGTTCCATCAGAGCAAATATTAGTCACTTTGACATTTGTATACATGGCGTCAACCTGGAGTGAAGGACACACCAAATATGTTTGAGAACAGAAAGTCATTCTTACCTACCTACCTAGGTAGGAATCTACCTAAATATCCCATTGTAAGACTTTGCATTTTAAAATCTAGGTTAGAGGATAGACAAGATAATGTAAAAATCAAGACTTAATTGTAAAAAATTAATTTGGATCCTTCTTTTTTCCAAAAGGAGTATCACTTGTTCAAGCACAAAATAGACATTTTGCATACATTATCATATTCCACTTTTGGAAAGGCTAAGAATATCTTTAACTTTGCTTTATTTTCTCCCCATTTATCTACAGGAAAGGTTTGCTATATAAATCATGTTTTGCAATATTAACAGAAGTAAAAATAGAAAACTCTCACAAAATTAATTCCATTATCTACCTACTTTCTACACTCTGCTCACAGGCCACGTGAATTCTAGTGATTTTTAAAAACTGTAATTAAAGTAAAGGTTTAATTTTAGCCCTTTTTTTTTGCGAAGTCATAAAGACAATTCAATTTTTCTATTTAACACAAAATTTTCCCAGTATTTTTATGAAGTCTTTAAAATGATCGTTTTTAGTGTTTCGTCCTATTCTTAAAGTTTGTTTTCTCTAAGAGTGCGAGAAGCAGACACAGAGACAGAGAGAGCACTGCCAACAGGGTCCAGACGCCATACTCTACTCCCAGCCTCAGCCACGGTTCAGTATGTGCCTGTGTACTCAGGGAGGTCTTTAGACTTGAACCAGGAACGAAACCATGTGGGACTGCCTCACAGAGTGTCATTTTAAAAATTATTTAATTTTATTTATTATTATTATTTTTTATTTTTTACTATTATTTCAATTTCTTTTTTTTCCTTACTATTTATTTAATTTTATTAATTATTATTATTCAATTTGACCAGAGACAGACAGAGAGAGAGAAGAGAGGGAGAGTGAGAAAGCAAGCCACCAGGTCTGAGACTCGAACCCTGGTCAGTCATATGGGAGTCCAGCACCTTAACCACTGCCTGCCAGCCCCATGTTACTTAGCTTGCAAAGTGAAAATTCTAACGTGTACATTTTGCACAGGTCCAGTTGACAACACTATAAGGTAATCCCTCAATAGATAAATTATTATTTTTCATTTGACCAGAGAGAGAAAGAGAGAGAGAGAAAGATAGAAAGTGAGAAAGCAGGCCTCCAGATCCAGGACTTGAACCATGGTTGGCCATGGGGGAGACCAATGCCTTAATCACCACACCACCTGCCGGCCCCCAGAGTGTCATGTTTCACCTGCATGACCCTTTGGTCCCTCATCCTATTCGTCAGAGCGAATATTTTTATCATTTATTTGAAGATTTCTTTCTTGGGGCTCCTCATCCTATTTGTTAGAGTGGATATTTTATAATTTATTTGAAGATGTCTTTCTTTGGGTGCATTTATGTTTTTATAACGTTAAAAAATGTTATAAAGCTAATAATAAATATTTTGATGGATCTAATTTTCCCTTCTTTTGTGTTATTTTCCCTTATTATCTTTGCAAAATAACTTCACATGAAATTAATATATGCATGTTGTAGAAACTGGAAAATAAAAAATCAGACCAAGTTCTAAAAAATAATGACTAACATTGTGGCCTTTCTCCCTTCCGGCTCCCTCCCTCCTTTTTTCATTTATTAAATATTTTCTGCCTCTATCACTCGGTAGCCTCTAACCGACAGCATTCTTCCCCGACGATTTTCTTGTGTGACGGCTGACAACAGTGATCACGGTAGTACCTGCAGGCGAACCTCCAACGCCTTGTCACAGATGGCCTTCAAGCAGGTGGCGTTGATATTGATGTCGTCTTCCCCAGAGGTATCATACAGAACAACAAGCGGGACATCAGTCTTGGCGAGTATTTCCACTGCAAAGATCTTCCCACAAGTTAAGGACTCAACCACCTTCACTAAATCAGGATCGTCACTTAGAACTTCCAGTCCTGAAAAATAGCCAACATTTTCATTACTACTCAATTAGCAAAATAATTTCCAGATGAAAAGACTGCATCTGTTCTGATCACTTATTAAAATGATGACTCTACCCATGAATTAACTTTTAAAAAGAAGCTTTGTTTTCTCATCTTCTTTACTTTATCTGCCCTTAGGTTTTAGAAAACACATTTAATGTGAATGATACTCTAATGCAGGCACTCTTAAAGCAAGAAGAAAAAATAGTCAACCAGAATTTCTACCTTAGGCAAAACAGCCTTTGTGTTTTATACAAAGACATATTTAAAACAACAAGCCAATATGCATAAGACACCATTAACCGTGTGTTTCAGTCATACATTCATAACGTTCTTCCTAAAATTCCACCTTTGACTTTTTAGAAATATTCCTAATTTAATATATAAACAATTATTTTTTTCTTACAAAACCCCCCAGTTTTTGTTAATTGAGACAACCACTTCTGTTTCTTTCTTTTTTTTTAGTATACCATTACGATCTGGAAGATATCCAATAAACCTTCTAATTTACCAAAATAAAATCAGTGTTCAACACAACATGGATATTAGGTAACTTTTGTTGTAGTCCAATTACTCTACTTAAACTCTGAAAACTGTAATTCCATACATCATATATATGACAATTCTAAGTCAATCTATTTTTTCAGAGGTTTTTGCCTTAGGGCATGTGTGCTCACCAGATATACAGAGACGATGAGAGGGAAAGTGAGAAATCATCCCCCAGGGGGATGGCCATGCTGCAATCGCTGCTTCTCCATTTTCCTCCTAGATTCTTGGGCACATATGTGTATGTGCCCGGTGTGAATATCAAGCCATCAGGTACGAGATTGGAACCACAGCCAGTCATGTGGGAGTCAGCTACATAACAGCTACACCATCTACTGGCCCCCTAAGTTAATCTATTAAACTGATGAGAACTAACTCCTTATTTTCACCAATGGTACTATTTCTATATTTTCCCCCCTTTACATACACAAATCAAAATTTGCAGATCTGGGCTGGCCCCATCACCTGGTGGATAAGGGAGCTGACGGTAGTTGGAATCTTAGCCTCGGAGTCTTGAAAAAACACAGTGTTTGTGTATGTGTTTACCCCAGATCCTGACAGGATGGCGAAAAGGCGAAGGGACTGTGGTACAAGCCCCACGGAGGGTTGCTCCCCCTTCTGGTGAATACCTGTGCCCTCTGGCAACTCAAAAACAAAAACAGACTCCCCCTGAGAGCTCTGCTTCTCTTGTTCTGTTCTTCACACATATCGCTTTGTGGCTTTTCTCAAACCTTTCATTTTCAGCATCTTGACTCTTGTCTAATTTCCTTGTAGGGTCTTTTCAAAATCAACTCCCACAGGTTTATAACAGGCATTTATTTGTTTATTCATTAAATCTGACTTATTCCATGAGAGTAAGTGACAGACACACAGAAAAAGGAGAGAGCGAGTACCCCAATAAGACTCCACACTGCAATCCCTCCTGCTGCCTTCCCAGCCTGCCAGGATCAGGGGTGGGCAGACCCGGTGTGTTCAGGTCCCCTGGGAAACCGAACCTGCAATCTTCCCTATCGATTCAGCATCGTGGAGCAGTGTAACACCACTGTGCCACCAAGCCGAGCCCTCTAACGGGCTTTTAAGATGATGAGGGCATTCTCACAGTCAAACGCAGCTCCTGTGATGTAAGGATTCATTCTGGATGGGAAGGAGGCATTTCTTCCGAGGACTTATTTCCATGAAAGAGTTACAGTCATTTTCTGAATGCAGTCCAAGCTCTCCTGGCACATGCCTGTCGATGCCTTTCCTTATCACTAATGTGGTCCGGAGTATGAACTTTACCCCTACAACATCACTCTCATGCCCACACATTCCTCGAGGCTTCCCTGAGGAGGGAAGGAAAGAATGACATACAGACCAGGACCTGTAGCCAAACTCATGTTTGGGCACACAAGTTTGTGTAAGCATCAGCACAGTCCATCCCGGAGGGAAGGGGGCTGAGTCACCTTGTAATACATTCAACGACGGGACTGAAACTGATCAGATCCCACGATACAGGGCCTCTATTAGTTATGAACAGGACAGTCAGAAAAAAGTGCCCTTTGACGTATTCAATAAACATTCTTCTTAAAAAATTACAATACATTGGGACCAGCAGTTAGCATAATGGCTATGTCGCTGGACTCCCATGTAGTTGACCGCAGTTCAAGTCCCGGACCCAGTGGCTTAAAACTCACGCTGGGCACATGTGTGTGCGTGCCCAAGATCCCGAGAAGAGAATGGAGGAGAAGGGATTGTGGCATGGCCATCCCCCCTGGGTGGTGATTTCTTGCTTCCTGTCTGTCTCTCTCTGTCTGGCGAGCGCACGTGCCCTTTAGCAAAAACCTCTACAAAAAAATAAAAATTACAATATATTGGGACCAGTAGGTGCTGTGGTGGTTAGGGCGCTGGACACTCCCACATGGCTGACCGTGGTTCAGGTCTCAGACCTGGTGACTTGTTTTCTCACTTTCTCTTTCTCTTTCTGTGTCTCTTTGATCAAACTAAAAGTAAATGAGTGAATAAATAAAATTAAATAATTTTTAAAAATTTACAATATATTACATACAATAGTACCTTTACATATAACAAAATGTAATAAAACCTTGTAACATTTTGGTGATCACATATTTCAAAGTGCACATTAAACATGAATTTATTTAAACATTTTAATAAATAACATATTGTAACACCTTGTGATATCTAGAATATTTTAAGAGTTAACTACCCAAAGGTATGGTCATAATAATCTACCAATATGGAGAGAGTTTTTTAAAATGTTCCTCTTACCTGCTAGCCTACACTTTGTAGCTTGGAATGAGAGGGAACAGAACTTCGAGTTCAACTTGTATGCTTTGCTCTTTTCAATGTTTTCACTAAAACCATAGTCAACATAGCATACCTAATGACACAAAACAAAACAATGTTTTAGTCTCCCAGTTCTTTATCCTCACTTAGAAAAAAAATCATTTGATACTTTAATTGGCTCCTTTATACTCTGTAGTCAGCCTGTTAAGTGGCAATACAGCTGCCTGGAAAATGCAAAGGGAGGGACCCCTGACTAACCCCAGAAGAGAAAGACTAGGACCAGGGTTATTGCTCCAGGCCACGCTCCACTCCCTCACCCTCGGTCCACAAGAAGAACAAGGTAGGACTACTCCGCTCTGATGCCTTGCCCAGTAGCAGGCCTGTCTGATTCTGCCAACCCCACTGCCTCTCCTCGCCTCCCTTAACAACGTGTCTACATCACCTTATTCTTCCTTAAGTTACACACTTCCACCTTCTCCTTGGGCAGCAGTATTTGTTTCTAGAGAGGGCATCCCTTTTGTACTCATCAGATTCTAAATCCCCAAAGCCACATTTCTGATGGCCTGTTCTCGACCACTGTGTACCTAGGGGCTGAGATGCCTTCTGTTGATGACAACAGTGATGTCAATGGTTTAACAACATACGGCGACAACTCTTTTTTAAATTTTGCCAGAAGACACAAGCACTTGCTGGAGTGAGACAGAGAAAGAGAGAAACAGAGAGAGAGAGAGAAAGAAACAGAGAGAGAGAGAAAGAAACAGAGGGGGGGGCAGGTATTCCCCATGGGGAGAAGTTTCGCTGCAATCTCTTTTCCTCCATCTCTCCCTCTTTTTGAAATTTTGGGCACACATGTACATGGTCCTCGCATGTTTCTCAAGCCACTAGGTCCAGACTTGAATCACGCAGATGGCCATGTGGGATCTAACCACCTTAACCACCACATCACAGGCTGGCCCAAACAATGTGTAATTTTACACTAAACAAAAAAAAAAAAAAGAAGAAAAGAAAAAAGAAAAAGAAAAAGAAAAAAGAAGAGAAGAGAAAAGAAAAAGAAAAAAGAAGAGAAGAGAAAAGAAAAAGAAAGATACTTGATTTTCTTAAGGAGTGTGGAGCTAGCGTAAGCCTCCCACAATTTGCAAATTTGTGTTGGTAGAAACCTGCAGGTCCCTTCCTCACCATTAGCAAAGAACATTAAGAGCCTGGATATTGTTTTTAGAATAATTATAGACCCTTCAGTTGAAAAAGACTATACAGGGACCAGCAGTTGGCATAATGGCTATGTCGCTGGACCCCCATGTAGTCGACCGCAGTTTGAGTTCTGGACCCAGTGGCTTAAACTCACAGCAGGTGCGTGTGCATGAGTGCCCAAGATCCCGAGAGGAGAATGGAGGAGAAGGGATTACAGCATGGCCACCCCACCAGGGGGTGATTTCTCATTTTGTCTCTCTGTCTCTCTCTGTCTTTCTGTTGAGCGCATGCGCCCTATAACAAAAACCTCTCAAGAAGAAAAAAAAAAGAAAGAAAGAAAGAAAGAAAAAGAAAAAGACTATATAAAAACTAAGCCTTTTTATTATAAACATTAAGCTGCGGTTCAAAATGACAGCTAAGCATCTTAAGGAAAGTGCTAAAAATCTATTTGCTTCTCTAATTAAAGCAGCTGATGGTTATTTAGAAAGCAGAGCCCAACAACAAAAACCAGGGCTGAGGCTTGGCTGAGAAATAGTAAGTAACACAGAGACAAGTCCTTTTCACCTTCTGCAGGAAAATGAAGTCCACAGGCCAGCTTCTAGGTTATGGTACTAAATAAAAACCCTCCCCAGCAGAGACCGAGGAAGACAGGAGAGGGGAGAGACCGCTAACATCTTCATGGATCGCTTGATAAGTGGGTCTATGGCATCTGTCTAGCCCATGTTGGAAAGATCCTCTTAAGAGCCTGCAGCCAATTCAGCACTGTGATAGGCCAGATTGATAGCAGAGTCCCCGTGTCAGGTAGGTGGCCTTTTAAGTGCAGAGATTTATTTCTCTGATCCTAAATTAGCACCGGTTTTTCTTCTTCACTGGCGTCAGGAGTCCAACAGCTCTCATCTTTTAGTTACCACCACCTTCGATCTGGGCACATCTCTCCCCAGAGCCCCAGTGGAGATGTGTCTGACAATAGGACACAGTGTGTGAGGTCACAGCACCTGGGAAATTCAGGGTATACTCTTACCTAACAACTGATAAGAGAAAAACTGCCCCCAAATCGCCGAAGGGTTTCTGAGATGTCTGTAGCTTGTATCTCTTCTTTCTTGTGTTTCATCACGACACCATGTATTGAAACGGCAGCTGCAGTTTACAAAGCTTAGTCCACAGACTGCCCATAACGTCTCACCACACCCAGTCCTGTGTCCTTTGCTCTGTGAGGGCCGAGGAGTTTCTCTAACGGTCAGGATCAGCACCAGCAGGCTCCCGACTGCGGCACAAGGCCCCGTCCGTTCCTGGTTCTCTGGCACCATCAAGTGGCCACAGGCTTCATGACACCACCTAGTAACACCCAGCTGACAGCCCTGGGCGCCCTGTCTGGGTCAGGCTAAATGGGCATCAGCCTCAGGGAGTGAACTCATGCTCCTGTCTCTCCTACTCACCAGCAACCGGACAGCAAGGAGGAAACTGGTGCCTGCTGCCAGGCAAAGTTTGGTTCAAGAAATGGAGTTTCTCCAAAGAAAAGCAGCTGTCTGTCAGCTTCATGGGGATAGGGGAAGGTGGTCAGGACAGGACTGCTACAACTATTGCTGTCTGAAGAACTCACTACTGGACAAGATAATGAGCTACTTTTTTTTTTTTTTAATTATTGCCAGAGGACATGTGCACTCACCCAGAGAGAGAACACCCCAAATGCAGTGTGGTCATACCACAATTCCTTCTCCATTTCTCTGTATTGTCAGTATTTTAGGCATGTGTGCACATGCAAATAGTAAGTTTTTCAAGCTGCGGAACCAGGATTCACACTGCAGCTGGCCACGTGGAATCAATTCCCTTAACCACTGGACTCCTGGCTCTTTTGTTGTTCTTTTATACAGGCTCTCAGAAAGTTGCCCAGGCTGGCCTTTAACTTGTGATGCTCCTGCCTAAGCCGAGGAGCTGGGAATACAGGCTCATGCGACCACACCTGCCTCTGAGCTGCCTTTTTTTTAAACAATCAAGTCCCCAAACTCTCAGCAGCAATGACAGACCTGGTTGCTCCCTCCTTTACGAGACAGATTCTTTTTCTGGCTTCCATGACACCACCCTGTTGGTCTTCTTTGGGCACCAATATAGTCGTCTTTGCTTTTCTTATGCCCCCTATCTAAATGGTAGAGTGTTTCAGGGCCCCTTCTTTTCTCTTTTTTTTCCCTTCATGATCTCATCTAGTCCCATGACATAAATTAGCACCTATATACTGAGACCACCAAGCTAATATATCTCTAGCCCTAATGTCTCCCTGAGCGCCATATTCATTTGTGTGAAATCTAAAAACTATTTTCAGAATTAACAGGTTCCACAAAGTTCTTGATTCTCCCCCACGGTGGTTCTGCTCCCTGACATCTCAATTTCAACAGACAACACCACGAGCCACTCAACTGCTAATGCCCCAAGCCAGGAGCCATCTTGAATTTCTCTTTCGTGTATTCCCCATACTCAGTGAATCTGTGCCCCGTCAGTTCCACGTAAAAATAGACCCTGTATCTGCCCCATGACCCCTGCCTCTGCTACTGCGCTCTAATCCGGGTCCCAGGGTGGCTGGTACTGCAAAGCTAACCAACAAGTCTCACTCTCCTTCCGTGTTCTCCTAGGACCAGTCTGCACGACAGCACCAGAACAATTTGTGAAGCAAATAAGTGAAATAAACCATATCACCTTGCCTATCCCTTCCTTCAGAGTCCATTTTCTATCATAACGTCTTGGTTATTTTGTTCATGGAACTGATATTCTTGTGTCTATTTACTGTAGATGTGCTTATTTGTCTTTTCTCACTAGAATATAAGCTTCTTGAGAATAAGAACTTGTCTGTCTTGTCTCTTCCCTAGGACAGTGAAAAAAGTCAGTAGAAAGTGTATCAGGCAAATAGTAACATGATGACAGTATGTGATTCCGTAGGTAAGAAAACAGAGAAGTTAAATAACTTTCCCAAAGCTACATAGTTAAAAACAGCAGAGCTGAGTGGAAGTAAGAAGGGAAGAAAGGCCCAAATGGCTGTGCTACAGACTTGGACCAGGAGGTATCCTCGTGGAACATCCACATTATTTATTGTAAACACTGTGACATTATTAATGTATCACTAGGATTTATGTTTGAGTCTTCTCTTCAAAGGAATTCCCTGGTACAAGGACAAGGCTGTCCATTTTCTCCATTCCTTTTCAGTATGGTGCTGGAAGTCCTAGCCAATGCAATCAGAAAACATAAAGCCAATGCAATCAGAATAACATAAAAAGTATTCAAAAAAAAAGGGAAAGAAGAGTTGAAATTATCTCTATTTGCAGATGACATGATTATATACAGAGAAGATCCAAGGGCATCACCAAATAACTCCTGGAAGTAATAAATGAATACAGTAAAGTAGCAGGATACAAAATCAACATGCAGAAATCAATAGCATTTCTATTTACTAACAACAAGCAGATTGAGGTAGAACTGAAGAAAGTAATCCCATTTATCATAGCCACGAAAAAGTGTAAGATAACTAGGGCTAAATATTACCGAAGAAGTCAAAGACCTTCACAAGGAAAACCATAAAAATCTAAAAAAAGAAACTGAAAATGACACAAAAAAGTGGAAGGACATCCCATGTTCCTGGGTTGGAAGAATTAATATAATTGAAATGGCAATTCTACCCAAATTAATCTACATATTTAATGCAATTCCAATCAAATTACCAGGGACATTCTTCACAGATTTAGAAAAGACAATCAAAGAATTTGCCTGGGATCATAAAAGACCCTGTATTGCCAAAGAAATCCTGTGCAGGAAGAGTGCGGTAGGAGGTATCTCACTCCCTAACCCCAAAATATATTACAAAGCAGTGATAATCAAAACAGCACGCTATTTTGAAATAGAACAGACATGTGGACAAATGGAATAGAGACCCCAGAAATAAACCCCAAAACATACAAGACAACTGATTTTTGACAAAGGGCACCAGTCAATCCAGTGGAAAAAGGAAAACCTCTTTAACAAATAGTGCTGGAAAAACTAGGTATCCACCTGCAGAAAAATGAACCTGGACCCTTATCTCTCACCATTAACAAAAATCAACTCAAAGTGGATCAAAGATCTAAACCTAGTATCTCAAACTATAAAATTACTGGTGGAAAATATCGGGGAAACTCTAGAAGACATTGGGACAGACAAAAACTTCTTAAATAAGGTTCCCCAAAGCATAGGCAATAATCCCCAAAATAGATAAACGGGATTACATCAGATTAAGATGTTTCTGCACAGCCAAAGACACTAATTCGTGTGAACTGACAATCCTCAGAATGGGAGAATATTTTTGTAAACCATGCCTCAGATAAGGGACTGATAACTAGAATACAAACTCAAGCGGCTTACCTGAAAAGAAAAATAATCAACCTAATTAAAAGATGAAAGAATAAGCTGAACAAACAACTCTCTAAGGAAGATATATGAACTGCCAAAAGGCATATGAAAAAATGCTTGACATCGCTCATCATAAGGGAGATGCAGATCAAAACCACAATGAGATACTACCTAACCCCTTTCGGAATGGTGGAGATTAAAAAACCAATAAATGAGGGACCAGCAGATAGTGTAATGGCTACATCACTGGGCTCCCATGTAGTCGACCACAGTTCGAGTCCCAGGCCTGGTGGCTTAAACTCATGCCAGGTGCATGTGCGTGTGTGCCCAAGATCCTGAGAGGAGAATGGAGGAGAAAGGATTGCTGCATGGCCATGCCCCCAGGGGGTGACTTCTTGTTTTCTGTCTCTCTGTTTCTCTCTGTCTTTCTGGTGAGTGCACACGCCCTATAGCAAAAATCTCCCCCCCCCCCCCCCAAAAAAAAAAAAACAATAAATGATAAGTGCTGGCAGGGCTGTGATGAAAAGGGAACTCTCCTTCACTGTTGGTGGGAATATAAACTGGTCCAGCCACTGCGGAGAACAATATGGAGATTCCTCAAAGACCTGCAAATAGAACTATCATATGATCCAGCAATTCCACTCCTGGGTAAACATCCAAAGAACAAGAGAATGCTGTCGAAGAAGTGATTGCACATCTATGTTTACTGCAGTATTATTCATGATTGCTAAGACATGGAACCAACCTAAATGTCCACAAACAGATGAATGGATTGAAAAATGTGGCACATATACTCTATGGAATACAACTCAGCCATGGAAAAACAAAACAAAACAAAACCAAGATCCTGACATTTGATAGAAAGTGGATGAATATGGAAATTTTACTACTGAGTGAAGCAAGCCAGGCTATGAGAGACATTGCATGTCTCTACTTAATATATTGATACTGTCGGCACTCTATGTAGAAACTGAAAGATTAAGAGAATACAGAAGCATAGAAAATGGTTATAGATACTGGAGACAGTATGGGAAGATGGTGGGAGAAGGGGGAGAGTGTAAGGAAAGGAATCAAGGAGAAAAATATAGATGCAAGGTATTTATGGGGCACAGAAATGGATTGTTGTCTTTTGATGATAATGCATATAGTATCTTCAACTGGACTGGTGTGAGGTATTTTCATGTTGGGTAAATTCATTTTATAAGTTAAGTAATATATTGTGTGTATAAAATAAAAAGAAAAATAAGTACTTGTTAAATGAAAAAATAATCATCATCCACTCCATGGTGGATGCTAGGAATTAAAAAAAAAAAAAAAAGGACACAACATTAGAAACAACATTTACATTTGTAAAGAGTAAACACTGCTTGCCTTTATTTTGTTCTCTTCTATCGAGATGATCTGTGCCCGTAACCAAGCATCCTCCTCGGCGTTGACTGCCAGCAACTGCCCAACGTGCACCGTCTGGACTGGGGTGACTTTCGGGTTCTTACTGTAATATTCCTTCATCTCATCTTCCATTAACTCCTGGGCAGCAGAATAGTCTTTGCCCACATACCTGAGCTCATTAAAGAAAGAGAACACAAATGAAGTTACTCAGAAGGAAAAGAAGTACCAGATCTCACTGCTGTCACTGTTGCCGCTCCGGCCATCTCTGCTTGCAGCCTGAGATTTGCTTATAACCACAGGATTAGAGCCTGTATTCAGTAAGCCTTCATCCCAATAAAAGGAGACACCGGACTATGGAGTGCATACAAAGCAAGACCCAGGTCCAGCACACCACACAAGAGAGCAGTGTGTGCCAACACTCCAGGGAACTAGAGAGCATGGCAGCAAGCAGGGAAGGGGTCCCTGGGGAGGACTAGGGAAGGGAAGAGAGGACGAGATGGTGGAAAATGGAGATGCCAAGGAAGTGAGGATCAAGCTACGGTCTTGACCAAAGCTGCTGCTGATCTTTGTAGATTACCAAGAAAAGAACCTAGCATATAGCTTTATCTGAACTAAGTTGGGATCTGAGTAAGCTTCAAGTTCTGAAAACCAATGAAATTTTACTACAGGAAAAAAACCAAAGTCTTAAACACACCAATTACAAGAATGTTACAGCCCCTGCATACTCCCACCAAATAAATCTGAGCAAATTACAACAAAATGTTGGCTTCTGATATTCTTTAATGAGGCAACATGCTCGAATGCCTCTAAAACTGAATGCTTGCTTTCTGCTTTTATTTTCCCCTTCAGGACATGCCCCTATGTCTTTGTACAATTTTCTATTGTTGATAATTATAATCATGTTGTCCCAGTTCATGTTATCAAAGCATACTATTTTCCTTTCTGCCACAAATAGGCTGTTGTCCCCTGCCCTTTAGTCCTCAGAGACAATTCCATGGAGGGCCTCTGCCCAGCATGTTAAACCTGACAGATCAGGTTTGGGTCATGGAACAGGAGCCACTTCAGCCATGGTATAAAGCCATTTTAGCCAGAAGACTATGCTACAGCAGCGCCAGACTCTCCTGGCCAGGAAGGTGAGGGATTCGCCACAAAAATGCAGCTCTTTGTACTGTTCCAGTTTTTACCCAGGGCTCTAAGAAACTACTCCTTTAGGAGTGTTTCTATGTATTTTTTGTAGAATCATCAGAGCAGAAGATGCAATTGTTAAACTGACGGTTACTAGGGTGAAAAAAGCTTTAAAAAATCCTACACGAAATGGAAAGTACGCTTCTTTTGAACAATGACTTTTTTCATGGTTGTGTCATAGGGCATGTGTGCTGCCAGAGACACAGAGAGAGGGAAACTGAAAAACCACCCCCCAGGGGAAATGGCCATGCCACAGCCCCTTCTCCTCACTCTCCTTTTGGAATTTTGAGCACGCAGTGCACATGTGCCTGGCATGGTTTTTCAAGTTGTTGGGTGCAGGAATTGAACCATGGGGGAGTCCAGAACCTTAACCACACCACCACCACCTGCTGGCTCTGAACAATGGCTATTTAAAAGTAAAATGTTACATGCATATGATTCACTCCAGAACAGCTGGAGAAGCTTTGCCATACTCCATCACTTAAATGCACTGAGCTTTGCAAATGCTGAGGCACTGCCTGGAACACAGGTGCACTCTTGGCTCTGGAGTCTGTGACTCTGCCTAAGTGCCATTCCCTGGGACCTGGGATCTAACAGGGCCTCCCTGTGGTGCCACTACAGCCCTGGAAGCTCAACTGGCAGAGGCCTGAGATGCAGCCCGTGATGTGGTCTGCCTGGTGCCAATTCTTCAAAGGGAGAAGGAAGGGGTGAGAAGTGGCCTGGGCCCTACAGCAGCTAGAAAAGAAAGATGGTTCAACACCCGGCCACGGTAAAAGTCAGGAGAAGATGTTATGAGAGTGGCAAGAAAGGGGTCCAAGATATCCCTACATTACCTGAGCAAGGGAGCAAAGGAAGATACGGACAATTTACATGGGCCATAAATACAAAGTTTTACAAAATTCAGTTTTGAGACTAGAGATAACAGATTCTCTTATTAGACCTGAGTTCTACCACAGTACCCACCCTGAGCTCTTAATGAGCCAGAGACCCAGATTCCACTAGCTACTGCCTTTCTGGGTAAAGATCCACGTGGGTACAAAACAGGGCACAGTTTGATGGGGGCCTGCCAAGCCTAGGGAGGAAGTGGGGGGCTGATGGCCTAGAGTCAACCTAATGGCAGACACCATCCACGATACTTGCTGATCAACTCTGCTGAACACATAGAACGTGGACTCCATGATTCAAATTTACACGGGAAGAATGACATTTCAAGTAATCTAATGACCCTGGACCTAACCATCCTGGGATACTTTAGAATATTCTTACTAAAGACCAAGAACGGATCCAGACTCCTGCTAACTCTTGGTAAGAAAATCTGAAGTCACATGTTTGATCTAGCCCAGCCCAGGATGCTTGGTCTTTGACAACGCCAACACTTACTGGTAACGGATACCAAAAGATCCTGCCGTGGAGATAGATTTAGGCTTTCTTTACAATGTCAAATGGTAAAACAATATGCCCATAGAATCTTTCCTTTCCCTCATAATGGGATCCCTAACCCTCAGCAACTTATTAGATCTTCCATACCCCAATAGAATGAAGCTTTATAAACCCACTACCCCTACATAAGACAAGACCACTCTCGAAAGTTTCCTAAGGTTCTACTAGTTTGAGCATCCGCAGAGAGTTAGGTTCATTCCATCCTTCACTCCAATTTAGTTTGTTCAAATGGGAAAACCTTAATTCTGTTGAGTTCTTCTTTCATTGAAGAATTCTGAAGATTTTGTGGTCTTTCTCTGGGCCTTTCTACCTCAGTTATGAGTCTCTGCAGGACAGATGGCCCAAACTATAGGGACACTTTGGAAGGAGCCTGGATTCTCTCTTGCTTCAGCCATTTCCTGACCTACCCAGCAGCAGCCACTCTGGGCAGGGGCCTCTAGAGGTTTAGCTCCTATCCTACCCTATTCTATCCTACGCCATCCCATCCCATCCCATCCTATCCCATCCCACTTTATTTTGCCAGAGAGCATATACATCTATCAGAGAGAAACAGAGAGAGAGGAGAAAACACCTCCCACTAGGACGTGGTAATGCTACAATATCTTTAATTCTCCATTCTGTTGTGGGGCAGGCATGCACACGTGCCTAGTGTGTTCTTCAAGCCACTAGGCCTGGGACTCAAACCCTGTGGTCAGTCATGTGAGATCCAGCTCCTATAGCCACTAGGCCACAAGGCTGGCCGAAGTCTTTCTATATTTTCTACATATTTTCTATTTTTTCTACAGGTCCAAGTCAAGTGCCTGAAGCTTGAATGTGCTTTATAATTCCAGTTATCATTAGCCACTTAAACAGTGACTCCTCCTCCCAGACAATCATCTTGAAAGGCTCAAAGAACCAAAGCACCTTTGGGTTCAAGAGTTAATCTGATTTACTGTATGAGGAAGATGAGGCTTAATTAACCATTTTGACTTTTAAGAAATACTATGCAGTCCCAGATTAAATAGTATTTATTATTTAGCATGTGGGGGACTTTATTTTTTTTCCCAGGGACTAGATATTACTTTTGACGCATATAGTTGCCATCATGCTTTTGACATAAATTTCTTCCAAGTTCATATTATCCTTCCAATTTTTAGAACTGTGAGTAACATTTTCTCATATTAACATTAATATACCCCATTGTAACTATAGAATTTATTATTTTTCTTTCAATCGCTAGCATTCATATGAAGAAAAGTCATGTGACGGACTAGCAGGTGGCATGGCGGTTAAGGTGCTAGATCCCAGATGGCTGACTAAGTGGTTTAAGTGCTGGACCTAGCAGCTTGACAACATGCTGGGTGCATGTCACGCATGCCCAAAATCCTGAGAGGAGAATGGAGAAGGGATTGTGGCGTGGCCATCCCCCTGGGGAGTGATTTCTCATCCTCCCTTTCTGTTTCCAGTGAGCATGTGCCCTGTGGCAAAAAATACCTAAAACAAACAAAAACAACAGTCATGTGTCCACAGTAAACCAAGGTCATAAAGAATCAGAAATGAAACTTGCCTAATAACCACTTCATTTGTGTTGCTGAGTTCAACCACCAATACAGACGGGGACGCCTCGGTCGGAATGGTTAGAGGAGGTACCGTTATATCCTCCACAAAGGTGTCAGCACTTTCAGCAATCTTTTCTTCTATTTGCAAATATTCTTGTTCAACCATAGCCTTGATATCATAATCTCCATGAGCTTGCCCTATATCCTGTAGGGTTTTGTCAGTGGGCAATGGAAGTTTAGCATAGAGAATGGCCTTCTGGGGGTTTCCGGAAATGTAGTCTATGGTGCATACATCAGAAAGCGAGGCAAGATTTTTTAAGGCATCCTTGGGGAACTTTACTTTGTACATGTCCTCGAATGCTTTCGGGAGTGCACTGGCCCAGAGGCCACTTGAGTATTTCGCCAGCAGCTCCGCCACTTTCTCTTTCATGTCTTCTGGCATGGCTCTTGGACACCCTGTCGCTGGTGGTGTTTGTCTGGGAGCAGGTGGCTGGGATGCAGGCACTTTCGCAGTGTCTAGTTCACTTCTCAAAAGCTGCTGTCTCTTAGCTGGATAAAGAAGCAAATCCTGACCACCACTGCAAGGTTTTTCCACCTGAAATTTATAAATAAAGCAAATGACAAATATCTCAGCAGCTATAAATAATACAAAAACACATTAATGCATTTGAAATTTGAGAGCAACACTATTTTCTAGTTGATCGACAGCACACAACGTGTACATTTTATTCTTCTCAACTCCCAAGACTTTAATGCACTTTCTTCACTTACAAGGAATATGAGCCATATTTCGGAAATGAACAGGAAAACAATACAATATTAATTTTAGTTGTAAGGCACCTACACTCCAACCGTCCTAGGAAATCATGCATGTTGAGGCACACTTCTCATTTGGTTCTCTCTGCCAAACCCAAAGGAACAGCTTAAAAAATATTTACTACCTGGCCCTTTACAAAAAATTCTTGAATCCTGTTCCGGGTTGTTAGACTGAAATTAATATTGACTGCCTTCTGAAATGTTCCTATTTTGTCACATCCTACTCAGCTATTCCTTAGCTGCAATGTAAGCCCTTGGGAAGATCCACTAGGATAATAACACAAGTTGGCAGGAACTTTCCACACAGAGAACAGAATATAAAAGTGTGCTGGGTGGGCAGCTTATTACGACAGTAAAGAACATTGACCCCATTTACGTCACTCTCCAAACAACACTTCGGAAGAGAGAACATGAATATATATATATGGAAAAGAAAGATGTTGTTACCAGAGAAAAGCTTCAGTAAGTGAAAAGGCGCTGTCTGATATCAAAATAAATTTCTTTTAGTCTATTTATTCTGGAAGACACATAAGTACATGATATTAATATTAGGTTTTCCTTCTTTGTTCTTGTGCCAATTCGTGCTCAAGGTTCGAGGACTGAGGAATTCTATGCCTGAGGGGCTTTAATGGCCAGTGAAAGTGCAGGCACTTGCTGGCAGCAGTGGTAGACGCTTGCTGGCAGCCTGGAGCACTCTGGACGGCAACCATTCGTGACTGCCACGCTGCTGTCCTTCGTTTCCAGCCAGAGGAACCAAATATTTGGAGACCGCATCATCCTTCTCTTGAAGGTCAGTCACCTTCTCTAAAGACCCATGTTTTGAAACCTGGAATCTTAAAATGTCCACCTTCTCTGGGCTTTAAGACACTTGATAGAATACATAAGTACAGAGAAGGTTACAAAACATACCTCCGGTACAAACGGAGAAAGAAAAAAAAAAAAACCACACAGGAGTGACTGATTCACTTTTCGTATTAGATCCCAGTAGATGTAACTTCAGATTTAGACGTGGCCGGAGACCCTGCACATCCAAAGCCAGAGGAGCCTGCCAGCCCGACATAAAGCTCTTGGGTTTTCACCTGCCGACCCTTCTCAACTCCTCTCAGTACTTTCTCCGAAGTGAAAGGTAGAGGCTAATTTCGGTGGGGGTTGGTCCCTCTTTTTTAGCTAGAACAGTTTCCGGAAGTCCTCTCCCCCAGCATTCCACATGGCTTCTTCTAACATAAACAAGGTTAGGAAGGGTTCTTCGGCCTTGTGCTCTTTTTCTCTTTTGCTTTTCCTGGACCTTCTACTGTGCTATCTGTCCTCCACAAAATGTATCCTCTCTTCGATTTTCTGGTAAATGGGCTTAGGAAGAGACTGCTTACAGACCCATCCCCAGCCTACAAGAACCTCCCGGACGTGGGTCACAGCACAGGTCACTGTGCTCTGGTGCAAGTGCATGTTGGTCCCCTGCCTCCACCTCCCAGACGGAACAGCGGCTTTCCGGTCTCTGCAGATGACCCGTGTGACTCGACATCTACATAAAACATGGCCTGTGTTATTCTCAATGTGATCGTCAGTAGCGAACCATGTTAGGTGGATCTTTTAAGAGCTTTTACAGTTCCTGGTTCCTTGAGTCCACCCGATTCAGCGATATACCTGAGAAGGGGGTCGAAATGCACCCTCCATTACAGGAGAAAACTCAGGAACATGAACGTTCCTTCATTTTCTTTGTTTTGTAGTTGTACAATTTTTCTTTGGCTTTGGAAATCAGCCTCCCAAAAATCCCTAGTCCAATGACTGGGAAACTGTCATGACTTGTAAATCCACATACTATGCACAGACTCCTACCCCCCCAATCCCAACTGGAGAGATAAGTGACACGAATGATTGCACTCTTTACACCATGATGTCAGGCCACTCCCTCTGACAATCATCACTTGCTATATTTAGGATGCCTTCAACTTTCTATTCCCACAAACTCGTTACATTCAGCTGGATTTCCGCCTTGTCTGGAATAACCTGACTGAGCTACTTCTCTCATTTCTGTAAGTTTAGAGTAGACATATTAGGTTTGGTAGATGTAAGGCCCAAGAACTAAAAACATATACATTATTTTATTTTATTTTATTATTTTTTTTAGTTTGACAGAGGACATGTGCACTCAGAGAGAGACAAAGACAGGGAGAGAAAAAGCAAGAAAGTACCCCTCAAGAAAAATGGTCATGCCACAATCCCTTCTCTTCCATTTTTCACTATTTCTGGGCATGTTGGTAGACATGCTTGGCATGGTTTGGTTCAAGCTACCAGGTCTGGGACTTGAACCGTGCAGTCAGGTCGTGTGGGATCCAGCTTCCTAAACCACCAGGCCATGGGTTGGCCAAAAACATCACTTTCTTTGTTCACACAAATAAAAGTCTTCTAGAAATCTCTTTAACTCTAGGAAGTCTTTCCTTCTTCCATTCTAGTTTTACCTGTGTCACAAACGCAAAGTTCTTGAAGTCAAATGTCTTTGAATCTTTGCTGACTCACCTCTAATTCTGCAGCATGGGACTCTGGAGTGAGCTTTCTGTCTCTTACTTTCTGTCCTTAGTTCTAAAGGAATTAGAATTTCCTTTGGAATTCTATAACAGAATCGGCACTGACCAATTGAAAATGCCTTCCCTAGCCTTTCTGTGGTAGTTTTGTTTCCATGGGGTAGTGGTTCTCTGTGTTGACGCTTTAAATTAAGTTCTGAATTACACTGTATATGGTCACCACTCCAAAGAAACCTGAGCCAGCACTGTAAAATCACATCTACCTGCACACCTGCTTCACAGTACTCGGCATTAGCACTGGTTATGAACTCCAAACAAACCACAAAAAAGGGGAAAAGATTTTAAAACCAACCAAAAAACTCTCAACAAATTACAAATCAATGTAAAAACCTGGCTTGGGCAGTGAAATAAAGACCCATAGGTACCCAGCAATGAAAACAGGCCATGACCAGAAGCTTGTACCCTGGGATCAGCTTGTCCCCTAAGATTAACTGGTGACGGTCTCCTTGAGAGGCAGTGTTTTACTAAAGCAGAGAAGCACAAAGAGTTAGACGACAAAGAGGAAGACAAGGCCTCGCTGGCATCACTGAGCCACAGTGCAGACACGCTGGTCAGTAAGATCTGAAGCGTGGAAGAGCAGCTGGTGGGGAACAGCCGTATTCAGGAAAAGGCACCGAGGTGAGCCAGACCCACCCAGCTGCGTGCCGCTCAGCACCTATATCCACACCGACTCCGCAGCAGCTCACTGCCGCCAGTGGTGACAAGCCAAGGCATCGGCAATGGTGGCGCTTTCCTCAGTCCAGTCTGTTTAGGCAAGCACAAAGATTCGCGGGATAGTCCAGAGGTTTAACCAACGATAAAGGTAAAGGCCACAAGTTCCTGGTAGTGGACAGCCCCGGACCATTCGCACACCGTCTACCCAGAGAAACTCCTCCGCCATCTTGGATGGGTAGGTTCACAGACTGTATTTCAAGGCTAGTTCCCTGTCTCTCACTCACTGCTGCCCCATGACCTAGGCGGCTCTGCACTAATGATGCCTCCACACACAGCACTAGGATAAACTCCCAGGCATTTTCCTTCGAGCCTGTCTCAGAGCACACTCACAGTCTTTCAGGAAGGCAATGGAGCCTTCTGGTCAAACATGTGGCACGCTTTCTGCCCGGCTGGGGACTGTGGCTTTCACTGTGCACACGAGGCTTCCTTGCTCACATGCTCTTTGGTTGGGGTGGAGGCGGGTTGAGGGGAGGAGCGAGAGAAAGGCAGTCATTTCTCTGAGATGATAGAAACTGTCATCTTGGAATCTCAGTTCCTCCGTCTTCATTTCATCCACTGCTCCTTCTGTCTTTTCATCTTGAACTTTTCTTCTTCCTCGGTAGCTTTTCCTGTTTTCACTGAGGTAAGTTTCTCTGTAGAGCTTGCTGGGCATATCCCTGGGTCAGGGACAAGTTTTGCTGTGCTTTTAATTTAAACTGAGTTGTCCCTCAAAAAGTAAGTTTTTGTTTTTTTGTTTTGTTTTGTTTTTTGAGAGATTTGAGTTATAAGGCATGTGCTCTCACCAGAGAGAGAGAAACAGAGAGACAAAAAAGGAGATATCACCCCTTGGGGGGATGGCCACACTGCAATCCCTCCTCCTCCATTCTCTTCTCGAGATTTTAGGCACACACACACATGTGCCAGCCTTGAGTTTTAAGTCACTTGGTCCAGGACTAAAACCACAATCAACTATGTGGGAGTCCACTGATACAACCATTTTACTATCTGCTGGTTCATCCCAATAACAGCTATCTATTTTTTTCTTTTTTTCTTTTTTTTTTTTTTTTAAGAGGGAGAGTTTTTTTTTTTTTTTTTTTTTTTTTTCTTGTTATAGGGCACTAGCACTCACCAGAGAGACAGAGAGACAGAAAGCGAGAAATCACCCACAGGCATTATGGCCACGCCACAATCCCTTCTCCTCCATTCTCCTCTTGGGATTTTAGGCACGTACACATAAGCACCTGGCATCAGTTTAAGCTGCCGGGTCCAGGACTCAAAACGTAGTTGACTACATGGGACTCCAGAGATACAACCACGATACCATCTGCTGGTCCCAACAGCTATCTTTTACTAAACACCTGCTATATCCAATACCATATGAGCAGCTGCTTTATACATTTGCTTTCATTTAATTCTCACAGGCACCCTATGCCACAGGTAAAACAGACCGGGGTTTTGAGAAGGCAGTCTGTATGCTGAAGGTTACACAGCTAAGAAACGTCAAGGC